CCCCAAAACCCCAAAACCCCAAAACCCCAAAACCCCATATAAACTTGGAGATGTGGAAAAGAGTAATAATTTAAAATACTTTAAAACACTTTCTGAGAATATGGAAACACAACAGTTAAAATATTTGCAATTGCTGAACTCAGCTATGCTCGGATCACAGACCGATCTTTTGTACCAGAGCACTCTGATGAACTTGAGTTTGGCTCTTAGCATTCAACCTTGGTTCCTCAACCTTGTCAACTGCATGAAGAAGAGCATGGAAATCTGTCAAGAATTGGAGTTTATTCAGAAAAATACTGGTGACGTGGTCAGTCTTCAAAAGCTCCTTAAAGACCTCGGCTACTGAGGCTGTCCAACTCCAAGCTCACTCTTGGACCAAGTGAACAAGACCAGGGCTGAAGATAAGGCTGAGACAGACGAGAGCCAGAAGAACTCCCTCACTCATGACTCTGGGTCCCAATCTGGGGGTCTAAACCTGCACAAAAATGCTTCATCTGATAGCCCAATTTCAAACAGTGGAGTTTCAGGAGAAGACTCGATCCTCAACTTTAACAAGCACAGAAAAGGGGATGAATATCTGCTCAAAGTTCATCCTAATGAAGTGAAGTTTATCACAAATCCCAAGACTGGCAGAAAGGTCAAGAAGATCTTCTGTAAAGCTCCTGGCTGCTCTCGTAGTTTTGACAAGAAATGGAACTTCAAAGATCACATTCGCATGCACATGGGAGAGAAGCCTTACAAGTGCAACAAATGTGACAAGGCTTTCACTCAGAAGGGTAACTTAGCCAAGCATCTAAGGCAACATCAGTTCAAGGATTTGAAGTCCAGAAAGGTCCATCAATGTCCTATCTGCTTCAAGAAGTTTACCGAGAAATACAATCTCAAGGTAAGATAAATTATTATGATTGGTTATTTCATCAAAAATTAGATTAAACTTTCTGAATCCGCGGTCTTGCCTTTCCTAAATTAGCCCAATGAGAAATTTCTTATAATATCCCAGTCAGCATCTTTTCCTAAAGATCAGATATGCAAGATTAGGGGAAGAAAGGCATATAGATATACAAGGAGTGTTAGCCCTTGTGTCTAGCCTTGCCACGGAGTTTTTAAATTTCGAAGTTTTAAAATACACGTCATAAAGCTTTTCTTAAAAAGTTGGTTATTTTGGCTCTATCTGACCAATGAAGTAAATTTATATAAGAGCCAATGCTCCCCGCCTTCACTGAGGAAGTGTCTAACTTTATGGATATAGAGCCATATGAGAGCATGCAAGATCAGAACTGCTAAGTCAGGTACGTAATTTTTCACTTCATACTCCAAATTTAAAATTTAAGCAAGCGGAGTTCTTATTGATGATCCGACTAATGAACTTTCTTACCTCAATCTTATTTCCATCTTTGAAAACCCTCACCCAAAATTGTCATCAATGGTGGTGCTACAAATAATCACTAGCTTCACTCCTCTGCCCAGCATTCTGGAGCTTCTTTAGCTACAGAAACCATTTGATCGAGATAGCTTTCTGTAATCTTGCCCAGCTACTTTCTTCACTCTTTTCTCAGAATTTCTCCCTTTCAATAACCCCATACCTAAAATGCTGATGATTTATATAGAAAATAAAGCAGTGTTGTCATAAAGACGTAAGGAGGAGAACCCAGTCAGACCGATAATTTAATTACTTTACCGATTTGTATATACTTAAATTCTCTCCTAATTTTGGGACTTCAGCTGTTACTCATATTTTGATTGGCAGCCACGCAATTTTTATCAACTGGGATTAGACTTATGTAACCATTCCGGTCATGAAGAACTGGGTGAGGGGAAACCTTATGAGGGAAGGATCAGAGAGCTCTCTGCATGGGTGGTTAGTGCTTAAGAGTCCCTCTTGATGCTCTGGAGGTGGTCTTTGGGTATAGAAAGTTCCGTCTAGGAAGATACATTTAAGAGTGTTTACGTAATTTTCTATTATTTTCATTAGTAGCTTCACCTACTTTTCCTAATTCGTTCTTGCATCTGAACTCTAAGATTGTTACCCAAGCGAGGCGGTTAGGGCTTTTGGAGTTTTGGCAGAATTACCAAATTTAAAACAATATTTCCCAAACAGCAATCTGGGATCGCTATGATTATATCCTTTGAGGACGCTTGAGGATACTCTCTAGACTCTCTTGTTAAAGCAAGTAGAGTCATCCTTGTTGCTAGGAGCAACTGAGGGCATAAGCTCAAGGTCTTTGAGCGGGCTTGGACTTGCCTCAAGAAATGATGTAACCAAGTCCAGTTTAATTTCGTCTCTTTTCGATTAGAAAAACCTTCTAAATAACCAAACAAATGACGCAGTCTTTCAATCTTGGTTAACATGGTGGGGTTTTGGGGTTTTGGGGTTTTGGGGTTTTGGGG